ACTGGCATTCTTAGAAAATTTGTCATAGGTTTAACCTTGAGAATAACAAATCATTAAGTGTGTGGGGGCTTAAGAATCAATTTACGTTCCAAGCAAAGGGCTTTTAAAATTAAGGTTGGAAAAAAAAATTAGATCTCGCCTGGTGTTGCACAGATTCTGTTGATGTATCAATCTTTTCAGGCATTTAAAAATAATATGGAGATGATAAAAGTAAGTGTTCTATAACCAAAAAATCTCTTGGTAATAAAATTTCAAATTACAGCCCATGACAACACTTCTAAATTGAAGCTGTGATACAGGAGCTTTGATGGAGAAAATTGTACAAGTAACTCGCAAAGTAATTCGGAAAAGCAACAAAGAATGAAGGTGCTGCTGAGATGAACAGAAAACATAGCTGGAATGGTGTGCAGCATCCTTAAATGAATTTTAGACTGTTTTGTTGCCAATATCTTAAGCAGTGCTGCAGTCTTATATGGATTTCTTTGATAGCTTCCTTCTACCAACAAATAACCTCACTGCAGGAAAAAAAAAAAGCAAAAACCCCACCGCACACAGACAAACCCAAACCTGAGCTCAATCATCATACATGACTGGCCTCAGAGCGTGACAAATTGAGCTGAATGCAGCAGTTTAATGGCAGGAATTGCGCTCTCCTATCGACTGCTTCAGGTATTCAAGCGGATGAGGAAGTATCTCCAGCGAAGGACTCATCCCTTCAAACTGTGCTGACTCTGGGTGCTGGTCTGTGGCCCAACGCTTTGGATACAGCACCAGGGCAGAAAAGCCAAATTGACTAAAAGAGCTGGAACTTTGCTCACAGTGGCACAGAATGAGCAGAAAAACCAATAATCACTACCTCTGAGTGCCTCAGTTTCCTTGTCGGTATACTGGGAGTGCAACATTAAACTACTTCTTATAGGTTGTTGAGGTTTAAATGGTTTTTCTGATGTCTTCTGGCAGCCTCCGATGAAATGGGTTACAGCAGTGCAACGGATCATCATCATTTTGTTCAGCAAAAAGCAAAGCTTAGGAAAATACAGCTTTTTTGTTTAAATAACTCAGACCAAACATCCATAACCACTTAAATGTGGCAGATCCACTAAGTGTGATTTGTACCAAAGCATCTGTGGTAAGAAGGTTATAGGTACGCTTTGAGAATAAATTTCAAAGGTCTGCAAAGTATAATTAGTTCTAAAGTTCTCCTACACATTAATAATTAGTAATAAAATCCTTCTAAAGCCCTCCACAGAAGGATGTAAAAAGCTCTTCCAGAAGCATAAAAACACAGACCAAACCCAGCCCCCTCATAGTTGGTGCTATATATCTTAAGCTTCCCTCTGAAGATGGTTTCACCTCTCTCCAACAGTTAATTTGATCATTTCTTTCTCTCCCTTCCAATACTTTTCCCGTTCATAGCGCATAACTCGGGGTGAAGTCTTTAATCTTACATACATTTACATAATAATTTAAAGACCAAATGGTTCAGCCAGACTAGATTGTCCAGTAGTCCTTAAAAACATTTATTTATTAATTCCCTGTCCAATTCCATTACCAACACAGCAAGCTTCTCAGTCCAGTTACATGTCAGAGAGAAAATAAGTTTTTTCCTCCATTTTGAATTTGTCATTTTAGGATTCAGTTAATGGGGAGCTGAAGGACAGGAATATGACCAGTGTCTGCCAGTACAGGTATCCAGAAGACAGATCTTGTCAAACAGACTTCATTTCAGTCTTTGACAAGATTATGACTGCTTGATAACATGTAATGAAGGACGATGGCATGCATATGTATTTTTAATAGCTATTGACTTAGCACTTTGGCTAAAAAGTCTGGAGCAATTATTAGCTGTGCAGACATGGGAACACGGCAGTTTTATTGCCATGCAAGGGAATGGTGAGTCTGATGCTGGAAGGATGCATATGGGTTTGGTACCTATATTTTCAAAGGCAAAAGAACAATGGAGGGGATTCAAAAGATACAGAGTTATTTGGAGGCTACTAAAACTGCTGAACAGCAGGAAACCAGAGGAACCAAGGACCAAAGTTTGAAGACAGACTAAATGGTTTATAAAAAAAAATGAAACAAACTTTTAACTGGGAGGATAATTAATTAGTAGGAACACAAATGAAGGGAGGTGGACAGTTGGCCTCTATGCTTCGAGATCTTCAGACCAGCTCAGGAAGACATGCTAAAGTCAAAACCGGTAACTATATGACACAGCGTCCTTTCTGTCCTCAGCCTGGAGGAACACTGCTGGCTGTACCCATATCCGTGGACCATCATACAAGAAGAACCAGGTTCTCAGTCTTCTTGCTCCATAACACCATGATTACTTTCTTTATTCACCATGTCACCTCTTGTGTGGGGCAGCCCCTTGCCACTGAGTTTAATGACGTCTGCCATAGTGTTGGGGAAGGTTCAGATTGCAGAAGAGCAGCTAAGCAACCAAACATGCCACTCCCGACCACAAAACAGAACTAAGAAATTCAGCTAAAGATGACACCTGCCCCTTATGAGTTGGTACCCCATAAACATGCTCACAAAAAGGCTGCAGAGGGTAGACTGTGAACTCTCCACAGCTCAAGGCAATTTGGCACATTCC